TAACCATATATAAAAAAGAAACCTCCTCTTTTAGATATTAGATTTTGATTATCACATCAGATATCTTTCTTTGATCTTCATTCATCGTAGATAAATATCCTCTAAAATCAAATGACAATTTTTCTTTGTCATAGTTCAAGTTCTAAATCAAGAAATTATTTTGAAATCTATTAAGAAGACTATCATCTAGAAATGACATAACACTGAACTCCTTTAAAAATATATAATTTTGATATTATTTTTAAACTTTTCCTTTACTTTATAATAAGGTAATAAGGTATGATATGTAGGATATATGATTTTAGGGTGTGCCTTTTTTCTAATATGAAAAGTTTTGTGGGACGCCTTTCTTTGTATTTGAAAAATTTAATGGGACGGGTGTAGTATAATTTTCTTCAAATATCTAAGGTTATTTATTTATATTAGGCTTCCCCAAAAACAATTTACTTAAGTAGTCAACATTGCGTATGCATTTTTTTCAAAAAATATCTTCAATAATTCTAAAATTATTATCGTTGTTTTAACGCATTGAAAATCTTATTTCAATCTATGAATTTCGTTTTAAACATATTAATGATTCTCGACAAATTCTATGGTGGACTTAAGGTGTACCATAGACGTACATATGAGCAAAATAAGTATTTCTTTATTACTAAAATAAGCATTTGTTTTTATAAATAAAAAATTAAAAAAATATATTTTATGTGAGAAGGCCCACAAAAATGATACACATTCAAGGTGCACCAAAGAAATACTCACGATTCTCTCTCTATTAAACAATATGATTAAGTGTCCACTTTGGATATTATAATTTTTTCAGTTAAAAAATGTCTAGAATCAAAATTTTAATTATTTTTAAAATTATCTAATGTTAGACGTTAGAATACACAATAAAAAAAGATGAAAGTAAACTCAAATGACAATAATAGTTAAAAGGGAGAAGTATTGAGGTAGAAGTCAAAATAAGTAATTTTGATACTTTTTTATACTTTACGTCTATAATAGTCTTTCTCTTTTTTAACCTTTTCAATTTGTTCTAACTTAAATGTATTATTATTATTATTATTCAATGGAAATATTAATATACATAAAAATAAATTAAACATATATTATCAGTAGAAAAAACTATGATGTTTTTTTACATTCTACTCATTATAATTAATCAAAATACATTAGAAAAAATTTAAAAATTACTCATCCTAATTATCTTCTTATTTTTCTACTTCGTAATTATATTCTAATCGCCGTATAAGGTATTCCGTATATATTAGGCATATTAATTAGAATGGGATCTTTCTATATTTTAATATAAAAGTGTCAAGTCATTAAACTCTTCAAAGGTGACGGATGACTCATAAAAAACTTGCCAAGTAGACCCGCCACATGTCGACATTCTGTGAGCCCGAGTCTCAAATAATATATATAAAGGATACTAGTACTCTGACCCGTGCCACGCACGGGATCGTACACAATCTTCCTCGGTTCAAAAAATATTTTTCAATGTAATATTTTTAAGATTAAAGAAAATGTATTTCTAACACGATTTTTAATACTCAATTATTATCCAGTCGTTATCAACAACTACATATGCAGCTATTTCTTATGAATAATCAAATTCAAGTACTCCTTTTCATCAAGAAAATAAGAGATATGAAAAATTCATATACCGTTTAAAAACTTTGAGAGTTGGTGTAGTAGTGTCTATCATAAAAAAGATTAATTTTTCATATTCTTCATGTTCGGATAAGTGAAGTCTATTATACTCTTGAGGGGATAACTTGCGTCAAGAATCAAGAATTCTAACAAAACTTCAATGTTAACAGTTCCATCAATCACCTGACCAAGCTTTCTATCTCTGACTTTGGTTATCCAATCACAAAAAACTTGTCTGTCACTATCTACGCAAGAGAACAACGTAGATGAATGCAACATCATATGTTCTTGGCCAATGTAAAAACTTTACAATACAACCATAATTTTGAGAAAATCAAGGTAGCTCATACAATTTCCTCTCTCGATGTTCTGAGTTAAACATGAAGAATCTGGTGCAAATCACCTTTGGTTCAATTGTTCCCCCCTGAATGATTCATTTCTAGAGTTATTATTAGAACGCCTCATAACATCTCTAGTTTTCTGTTTATGACAACATATTGGAACATAATGATCCCATTATGTACTTCTTTCCCTTATTTCTTTTAGTTCATTGCAAGTCTGTATTGAAGCACTAACTAATACTGAGTTATATTAGCTTTTCTTACATTTAAAAATGTTATATAATGCTAAAAGACTGTCTGGAAATGAAGAAAGCCAAAGCCTCTATCACCTTTAAAAGAGAATTGGACAAAGTGTCTGGGAATTGGCCAAAGCCTTCATCGCCTTTTTGAAGGACATCTCTTAATTCCAGAACCATCTACTATCTTGGTTTGAGAGTCCCCCTGCTCAACAGTAATTACATTTGTACATTCAATTGGTAGTTCAATAATGTCATAAGCATAACATCTGTATAGATGGCTTTATATCTTAAAGAGTTCTCCTTAAACTAAGTATAAAAATCCTTACAGATCTATGTGTATATTTTTTATATTTTTAAGAGAATAGGAAATTAAAGTAAGACAGAGTGTATTTAATCTACTTATTAAGGAACACTAAGAGAAACTAAATTAAATGGCTATGGGAAATTAGGAAAACAAATTGGGTGGATTTAATTTCATACACCTTAACTCTCTGCACAACAATGACACAACTACCAGCTGAGGATTCCAGTAATGTCAGGGAAAAATATACTAGACTTCTTGAATGCTCATAAAGTAATCCAGCAACTTCGAACCCAGCAACTTCGTAAATTAGTACCAATTATATTTTACATAGTATATAATCTCCGCTGTTAAAGAAATCACATAAAATATAAATATTTTGTAGAATATCGATCATTATTAGTTGGCATATCTAGATTACAGTTGCCATAGGGCATATTGAACAAACTGTTTTCATATGGTCACCATGCATGCAGAGTATAGAGTTTGGGCAGAATGGTGAGAAATCAGAACACTAAAGAATTGAATGCAATACTTTTGGAAACCCTAATTTGAATGCAATACTCAACAAATACTTTGGGTGAAATAGATTTGATTAAAAACATGGTTTGAATATTGAACCACTAAGCATTTGGAAAAACCTAAAGAGTACGACACTTACTTCGATGCAACTCTCAGCTAATCCCCCTTTCTCATAAAAAAAGTTAGTTTTTTGATACTCAAATAATATCAACAACTAAAGAATGAAAGTTTATCTATGAAAATTAGTTGGAATGAATCAAATGAAAGAATAAGGAAAATGAGAGGAGTAACAGAGAATAACGTACTGACCTTGTGATTATGAAGAACCCCATTTATACAATCAAATTTGAATATGAAAAATGGAGGTTTTGTTAGACACTTTTTGCATAACAGTATGAGTGGATGAAGGTGAGCATTCTTCTTTAATTTGTACCTCCATGTAGAGCACCGAAAGCCTACTTTGTACCTTTGTGAAATATAAAAAAATATCTGATAACTTACCCAATGTAGCGATGCATCTTCTTGGCCTTAAAGTTGTGAATGAGGAAAAGAACCCTTAAAGTAATAACCTATTTGTTTCAATCACGCTCTCATCTCCTAATTTACTTGCACACTCACATTTTTAGTCAAAGAGTACATTAAAATGCATTTTTTTTAAATTAGTGAGAAAGGGATTTCGAGCCAAAAAACTATTCACATTACATGCACTGTGATATTAAATGCGGATAAAAATCTGCTACAAAAAGAAAAGAATAAAAAGATATAAAAGGGGCACTAAAGGATAAAATCACAACAACAAACATGGTAAAATCTCATATGGTGTCGTAAAAGGATACATTGAAAAAACTCAAACTCTACATTTAGGTTTAAATAGCAACTTTCTCAACCTAGCCGCTTTCACTACTTGGCAAATTACACCATCAGATGAATTAGAACATAAACAGAACAAAGTTAATAGAGTATAGAGTTTAGGCTAAAAATTGGGGAAATAGACACTCCAAGAATTGGATGAAATGGACATGCCAAAATTGAATAAAGGAAACTCTAAAAACTAAATAAAAATTTGGGAAAACGACATTCTAAGAATTGGGGAAATCGACATTCTAAGAATTGGGGTAATCGACATGCCAGAATTGAATAAGAATTACATATAAATTTTGGAAACAAACCTAATTCTTGAAGCCTCGAAAAATTATGACCGCAATTAGGGCGGTTCGTAATCTGGAACATATCGAGACTTTCCTTCAATGCTCGGTGTAGAGTCCTTTCCTTTGGCGTAGGCGAAGAATTGGGGATGAAAAAATTGCTTGTAATCCGCGTAGAAGAAATCGGGGTGAAGTGCTTTCCTTGGGCGAAGCAACCGGGTGAAGTAGAAATTGGCTAAGAAGTAGAGTTTTCCTTATGCAGTAGTGTCCCGGAGTTTTCTTTCCTTCCGTAAAGATGAGAGAGGGGAAGAATCGGTACTGGAAATAGAGGCTTGCGATTTCATCTCTTAAGTTGACACCTGTCAGCCTCTGACGTGTAATCAAATGAGGGGCCTTAAGTTGCCACATGTCACATTCTCACAAATCAAACTCTCAAATTTTATATTAAAGGATATATATATATATATGATTTTTATTTATTACTAATACTTGATGCTAAAAAATTACTCCATAGTTATATTATGTTTTATTTTGTCGATTTTTGATGAAAAAACATTAATTTTATTTGTATTACAATTTTTAAATAAAATTAATACATTTGATAATGGTTAGCTTTATTGAATAATTATAAGAAAACGCCCCAAATAAGAGTAAAACATAATATTTATAATCAAAATACGAGTTTTATATTTTTTATCCATAAAATGGCACTGTATAGTAACATCGCACTATATTTTTTGGTACTATATATTAGCATTATTGGTATTGTTTTCTTATTTTGAAGATAAAAAACATAGGACTCTTATTTTAATATTTTTTTTCATGTTCTACTCCTACTTTAGTTACATGAGTATGTATGTATGTATGTATGTATGTATGATGCATCTATGTATGCACGTACGCACACATAAATGTATGTATGTATGTATGTATGTATGTATATATATATATATATATATATATATATATATATATATATATATATATATATATATATATATATATATATATATATATATATATATATATATATTGTAAGATCTAAGGATCTAGATTTCATCAAAATTAGATGCACCAAAATGGTGGGAAAATGCATCACGTCGAAATGCACCATAAACCTTCGAAAATGCACTATCTCAAAATCTGAGCGCAGGATGCAATCTCAGCCGCACGATGCATCAGATCCGAGGGCTAGATTTTATTCTCATTTCTCTCCACAAGGTGCATTCTCACATGAACCAGCCCCTATATATATATGTATATATGTGTATGTATATATATATATGTGTGTGTGTGTGTGTGTGTGTGTATTGTAACACCCCAACTCGCGTAACCTGAACCAAGGAATTAGCGAATCGGGTTGCTACTAATTTGGTATTTAAATATACAATATTTTAAAAAATTTAAAATAAAACATTCATTCATATTTATTTTAAAAACAAATCATAAATTAATCAGAGTTAATAATCCAAACATTCACAAAAGACTTAAAACCAACATCCAAAATACTTCGATATTTGAGTAATAAACAAATGGGATAACTTTAAATAATAAAATCGAAGTTTTAGTCATCCACCAATGTCACGCCTCATTGTCCTCTAGGTTGTTCGTCCAATCCTTGATCCCTATCTGCGTGTAGTCAAAGATAACAAATACTACATGCTGAATTGAAAGCTAAGTGAGTAAATATCTAGTACTAGAGCTAATTCATAGACTAACATGCATTAATATATAATCACAAATATTTGAAGAAATAACAAATATCATTATTGAATATCATGATTAATTGTTCATTTATTTCATTTTAGATTTCACTTATTCTTACTACACTTAAACTACTTGGCCAAAATTCATTCACATTAGACTAGAGTCATGGACACCCAAGCACTGCCTGGAGCCACTAACGAAACCTCAAAGAACTTCTTTAGGTGGGTTGAACCCCTAACAGGTCCCAAACTCTCGTGCGTACGTTTTAAACCCAAGCCGTGTGAGATATGTGAAGCTTGCCTCGCTAGGCCTAAATTATAACCTTAACCTATTGGTGATTCAGATTCTTAAGTTCATTCAGATCCATCTAGTTTTACTAGGTGGCCTACTTCACAAATTTAGTTAATCACACAATTTTGGGTTTGTCATTATCAAAAAAAGGGGGAACTATTGACTCTTGTATATTGATAAAGACAAACATATTGTTGGATTCTTGAAGTCGATGGTTTGCTTAACAAGCTGCGTTGGATGGACATCAAGACAAACCTTGTTGATAGAGAGGTTTCTAGATTTTTCTAAGTTTTGAGCCCTAGACTATTTGTTAAAGTGTATGGCACATTTTTTTCTTTCCAAAATCTTTTTTAAATGTTTTGAGTTAGTTTCAAAATGGTTTTATCAATATTTGTGTCTTTCTAATTGATTTTACTCGAATAAACTATTTCCAAGTCAGTCTTCAAGATTCAGGTTGTTTTATTTGAATAAACTCCTTTTTAGTCGACTAAGTGCAAAAAATTTCTGCTGGACTATTCGGCTAAATTATCTTTTAGTCGAATAAGTATTGGGTTCTTTAGTAGCGATGTTGGGTTGATTTAGTCGACTAAATTTCTATTTAGCCGACTAAATCGATAGTTTCAACTGTCCAACTATCATTTTTTTCAATTTTTGGGAAGTCATCCAACCCTATCTTATATAACTACTCCTCTCTTTGGTTTTAAGTATTTAAGAACACCAATAACATCTTTCTTAACACATCCTTTGATTATTCAAAGAGATTCATTCAATTTCATCTTCCTCCTACTCAAATTATCAAGTGTTTGTTTGAAATTTCTTTAACGCTTGAAGTTTAGAGAGTTTTAGTGGGTCATGCACTATATGTTGCTTGTAAATTACAGCATGTCCGCTCTTGATTAACGAGTAGTTTCCGTTGTGCACATTGGTTGTAAGTTTTATGTTGTAAAAAGCTTGAATTTGAAATAATTCAAGTTTTGGATTGAAATCCAAAGTCTTGTGAAATCAAGACTTCGGTGGAAAGTTTATAGGCTTGTAAAATCAAGTTCTCGAGTTATATTCGGATTGTCAAACTCCGTTAAGTTTGACAAAGATAGTGGAATCTCGGGCACATTTGCTTTGGGGATTGGACGTAGGCATTAGGTCAAACCAGGATCTATTCGCACTTTAATTTTTTGCTTTTATATTTAATTATTTATAACTGGGTTTCGTTTGCCTGGCAAATAATTTGCTTTATTTCATGAACACCTCTTTTCACCCCCCCCCCTCTCTAGAGGTGTG